ATTACAAATTGCAGGTTATGGAGCAAAATTTCTTACTTTTTGAAATCATTTTATTTACAAATTGGCATATCAATAAAATATAAAAATTACATATTAAAAAACTACGTCAAAAGTTCTACAAAACAAGAGGTGACAAGAATATTTTATTTTATCAAATACTTGATGAAATCGCGTAAACAAACAAAAGTTATCGAGAGAAGAGAGAAAAAAAGATTGTAATCTATTTGGGGACGGAGGGAGTACCCCATTTGTACACCACAGGTTTGCACAAACATTTTGATGGTTTATACCGACACAAGTGTTGGTGCGTTAATAAAAATTTACACGGACACAAATGTTAGTGCGTTTAACAAAAATTAGTTTTACACCAACACATAATGTTGGTGCAAAGCTGCGGAGTACAAATTGGGGTATAAATCTTGGGGTACACATAGCATAATCCAAAGGAAAAATGTTATATTAACGGCAAAATATAAAGTCCACTTTTAACCCCATTCTTTTACAAATCTCAGAAACATTCACAGATATCTGACATTATTTCATGTCTTTAATGTCCGTAAGATTTGTAAGAGTGAGTTTAAAAGTGGGATTTATATTGTAGCATTAATAAGAGGGTAAACTCCACCTTGGGTGGCTCTCGAAAACAACTATTGAGTCATTCAGAAGAGGTAAATAATTAAAATTTTATCATAGATTGATTTTCAAAAGTAGAGTTTACGCTTGATATTTATAGATATCATATGCTTAGTATAGTTATTACGAACAAACTTGGCTCAGGTTCGGATGCACTCTACTAGAGTTTACTTTTTTTTTTAAATAACGTACATTTTTTTAACTTATATGTGACTATGTCTCCAACAAAAATTAATGTGGCTACATGTAATTAGGCAAATTTAAAACTTTTGTTTATTTTTTAAGTAAAGTGTATTTTATTGCATATTCGAAGTAATTAATTATTTACGAAATAAAATTTCACATTACTTATTCAAAAATATTTTACATTTAATAAATGTTTGAAATAAAATTTATTATTTTTTGTCATTTCATATAGCTGATTAAAAAAATCCATGCATACTATTCCAGACCTCTAAGGCTATGGGGTGTCATCATCATTCATCAACACATTCCCACCATTCTCACTTCCAACTCAGTGCCACATCAGCTTTCCCCATTTCATCGTCATACATGAATATCATCATCATTCCATTCTTATTTTTATTATTATACTACTTTTATAACATTTCATTACATTTAATTTTTTAATTTAAATAATTAAATAAACCAAAACATTAAATAAGAATTGGATACTTAATAAAAAATTATAAATAATAAACTAAATAAAATGCATTACAAAAGTAAGATAAAATATTACATTAACCAAAGATGTTGATCCAAATAAATAAAAATTTTGCCAACCAAAATGAGCGTATGGTTGAAACCGGGCCTATTGGGTTGGTTTGGGTCCATTTTAGAAAAAATGAGAGTGTAAAGAAAGGAGGAAAGAAATAAAAGTGGAAATATTAAGTAGAGAGAGTTTGATATAAGTTTGGATAGAAGTAGTCTTAGAGTATATAACAATCATTCCTGGGCCACAATCACAAGCTTGAACTTTTGGTCGAGTTGGTTCCTTAATATGGTATCAGAGCCTTGGTGACCAAGAGGTCACGAGTTCGAAACTCACCGCCACTCAGTTTAGGAAAAAAAATTAAGGTTTCACTTGCAAGGCTCAAAGAGGTCACGCCTGCACTTGAGGGGGCGTGTTAGAGTATATAACAATCATTCCTGTGCCACAACCACAAGCTTGAGCTTTTGATTGAGTTGGTTTCTTGATAAGTAGTGTGTTTAAATAGAGTAGATATTTTTGTTTTTGGACCTAACAGTCAATTTTTTAAAATCTTTTATTTTTTTTAACTCCAACGGTCAAAATTGAAAAAAAAGGAAAAACAGAGAAATTGGTTGGGGTCGAATGCCAGGTGGGCGGCGCCAACTTCTCCGACCCCACAGGCCACATCCTATAGCCTAACAAATGCTATCCCCATGTAGCTCAATTTCTAGACTCGCGAGCGACTCGAGTCTTATCCCTGGACAGCTCTATAGGGTTAGGAGAATGTAGTCCATAGACCAATTGAATTAGTTGGTTGGCTCATGGCTGTATCCACTCACCAGTCACCATATATCGAGATATGAGTCACTCAGTCAAACTCAAAAGCAACTCACACAGTCACACAGTATCCAAAGCAACAAACAATCTATAAAGGCAAGGCACGTTTAGATCTTAAATTAGTTATAAAAATGCTAGGAGTACACCAAAAGTGTACTCCAAACATCCCACATCCCATCCATCACCACACAAAAAAGGCAAGAAAATTTCAAAAAAAAGTATAAAATAAAATGAAAATAAAATGAATAGTGTAGAGGCAAGTGGTATACATTTGGGGTACACCAAAGGTGTACCCCTAGCATATCCCAATTAGTTATCCTCTTCTTTATAACTTAAATTTTTTCGATTATTTTTAATTTGTTTCCCTGCTATTTATTTCATTGATCATTACTGAAAGCATATCACTTTTATACTTAGGCTCCGTTTCGTACACATAATTCAAACTATGGAATTTAAATTGAGGACAACAATTCTAATTCTAGTGTTTGGTAGCACAAAAATATGTGGATTTGAAAGTGGTAGCGCCATAAAATGAACTGGAATTAGAGAATTCAATTCCATCCAAATCAATTCTATAGAATTCCAACTTCCAATTCAATTCCAATTCGGTCAATTCCGTGTACCAAACGGAACTTTATTCAAATTCAATACTCCCTCTGCCCTAAAACTCAGTAGTTTACGAGATTTGACTGAAATTATTTTCAATTCAATTTATTTGATTATATGTGTAAAATTAAGAAAGAAAAATTATATATTTAAAAATTAAATTAAAAATTCTACAAAACAAGGGGTGATATGATATACTCTGTAATAAAGAATATTACCTGAGAAGAAAGTTTTAAGACGGTGAGAGTATTTCCTTCATTTAATGTTTTTTTCAATTTTTATAGTCTTTAATATAATAAATTGGTAATTAGTAACAATATTTATACATAGATGTATTAATATTTTTCGAAAGAAAATTATTGACATTGCATTATTTGACTAATAAACTTTTCAAAAGAAAACTCTGACAAATTTTTAGCTAAATTTCCGACTATCAAAGTTAAAATAACAAATTCTGATAAAAAAGTCAAATGCGAATATTAATTCGGGACGAATGGAGTGTTACCTAAAAAGGAAAATGCTAGGGGTACATCAAAGGTGTACCCCATTTGTCCCCCACCCCCTCCATTACCACTTAAATAGGCAAGAAATTAAAAAAAATTAAGTAAATAAAAATAAAAAATGAATGAATAGTTATGGAGGGGGTGGTGTACAAATGGGGTACACCAAATGGTGTACCCCTAGCATCTCCCTACCTAAAAATTACTCAAAATTTTATTAATTCGGGCTCATTCTTTTATGTGTCCCGTACACCCAAGATATTTTAAGAATGAGCTAAGAGGAAAAATTTAGTCAAGTGGACATAATAATACTTGTATCTGTTTTACTGTGTACTCTGTAAGTCTGAAATTCTGAATGGGTTTTGGCGTTTTTATTGGGATTGTGTCGCGTTCATCGGAAAAACATAGGCCATACAATAGCGTTAGCGTTTTGAAAAGGCTATCTACGGACAGCTTTTAGCGTTAGCGTTTTCAAAGTAATCTGCACTGTTAAAATTTTATCCACAACTAAAGCTAATCTCTAACGCTATTCCCAAACAGACCCATTATCGATAACTAATCTCATACTGCCTACCCGCAAATATTTACTATATTTCAAAAAAACAAGATAAAATATCTAATTTTTTCAATTTATTTTATTTAAATATTGGTATAGAAATAATTTATTTTATCAACGAAAATATACAAATAAATAAAAATTCTCGCAATGGTTGAAAAAAATGGCAAACATTTAGGATGGAGGGAGTATCAATCATATCTAGAGAAAAAACTCAACTCAAAAACGGGGTGGGGCTTTTATCTATTCAGAAAACTACTCCAAGGTACACTTGATTTTCGGATTATGACTTTGAAGTCTCACATTATATGAAATATAGTTTAGAGTAACTTTAATTTCTTGGTAATGACTCTCATGTTTTACATTATCTAAAATATACGCCAGAGTACTTTTAATTTTTTGATAAGAATACTTAGATCCCACATTATTAAAATATACTACGAGGGCCATTAAAATTAGTAGTAATGTACTCTTTGGGTACATTCTCTCTATTTGACCGTTAGAATTAAAGGTTTTGATACTTTGACAAATACTAAATTTTACTTTCTTAATTATTATTTTATTATAAAATCCTTCAGTTTCTCAAAATAAAAGAACTTTCAATCCTAACGCCGAAATGGGCGAAATGTACCCTCAAAAGTTAAGTATAACAAATTTTAAGGATTCCGGAGTATATTTTGGATAATGTGAAACATGAGAGTTCTAACCAGAAAATTGAGAATACATCGAAATATATTTCATATAATGTAAGATCTGAGGATCATTACTAGAAGATGCTTTAGAGCAATTTTCTGTTTATCTATTTTCTTTTTCGGTTCTTGACAAAGTTTGGAGTACTATGGGTATTGGGTAGTACTCCGTATTTTTAAATACGGAAGAAATACTTAATGGTATGTTTGAGAACATGGATTTGGATTTCAAATCTGAATTTAGCTTAAATTCCATGTTTGGGAAACTTAAGTATTTTGAATTTGGATTTGAATCCTATTCTTTACATTCAAAACAAAGTTTAATTTGAAATTTATGCACCTCCCCTTGTCATTTGAAATTCAGGATTTCAAATTATGGAATTGAAATGCATGAATTGAAATGAAATGCTAATTGCCAAACACTGCCAAAAGAAATTCTTAGGCATGCATTTGTGTATAAATATGAGAGACTGGTCCAACGGTCTCCCTTCCACTTTGTTTGTTCAACTTTGCGAAAGGCTCCACTGACTACTGGGAGTGGTACTGTGAGTGAGGCGTGGTAGAAGAGGGCCCCCGCCGCGGCGCCGCCGTTGATCCAACCTCGGCCGACAGGTGAGCAATAATCCCCAACGACGTTTCTCGTTAGACCAGAATGCTTCTTTTCTTTAAATGCTCTGATCTGTAATGGGTTTGTGTTCTTTGTTTTGCAGGGCAAAATTCTGTTTCCTAGGGATCGGAGTATAATTTGTCCTGTTTCCTTGTTGTTCCGGGAAAACAAAAAAGATGGCGGAGGGCCAAGAGAGTGTGGGCAAAAAACAGAAACCTTCAAAGAGAGCGACGAGGAGAATAAGGATCGTATGCAACGACCCGGACGCAACTGATTCGTCTGAGGACGACGACTGTGCGTCCAGGAGACAGAAGAAGAATAAGAAGAAGGTGTTTGTTAGGGAGATAAATCTTCCCATACTCAGTGGTCCAACTCTTGAAGCAGAGACCAATCATTGTCAAGAAGACAAGAGCACGGATAGTAACAATAACAGAAGCAGATTGATGATGAGTCAAAATAAAAGCTCTTCATCTTCTTCCTCTTCTGTTTCTTCACCCTCAAGGGTAGGGAAGCCGATAGGCGTGAGACAGAGGAAATGGGGGAAATGGGCGGCGGAAATCAGGGACCCTTTCAAGGGGAGAAGGGTGTGGCTGGGCACTTACGCAACCGCCGAAGAAGCCTCTTTTGCCTATGAAAACAAACGCCTCGAATACCAAGCGGCCATGAATATTATTAATGCCAATGCCATCTCCTCCTCGGACTCCGTTCGGAAGCATTCTCTGGCTCCTCCCCAGCCCCTCAAAGAAGAAGACCCCTTGGTCGAGGGATCAGAGAGGCACGACGTGGCATTCGATTTGGAGCTGGAATCCCTCCTTTCCGCTGCGGGTGGCAATCTTTCGACTTGTCTTGATGATTTTGCCCGTCTTCCTCCTTCTCCGCATTTTGATGATTTAGACCTTCTTCCTCCTAGTGTAGTGTATGATGACCAGCTGCCCGTGGCTTTGCCCGACATTGATTTGGACTTTGATTTCGATGCTTGCAATGAGGCTTGGATGGTTGAATCTCAATCTCCCCCTGCTATGACAACTCCCCCTCTAAACATAGCTTGCCCATAATTTTTTTGCATTGGTTAATAGGCGTTTTGTTTATGGCATTACTACCTTTTTAATTAGTCTAAAAGTATGGTTCTTGTGTTATACAGGGTGGGTAGTAAAGCTGTGAATTTGCCAAGAGAATACATTTTTCTATCGCTTTTTTCGTTTTTTATTTTTGCATTTGTCTGATTATATATAGTCCAGGTCTCAAGGAGAGACTTTAAATGGGGAAGAACCGAAGAAGAGGCATTTATTGTTATTAGTTTCTGGGGTTCAATCCATTGGTTTTATGGCGTTATGGAACCCCAAGAAGTTCATTATCCCTCTTACACTCACATCCTCAATGGGCTCCAATGCGGAAACTAGTATAGTCTTAAAGCTGCCTAAAGCCGTTCAACTGGTTTCAGATGTGTATATATGCTCATAACGCCTTTGCTTATAGTGCCCCGGGTGGCCGTGTGACTACGCAGTCTTACAACCGTCCAAGCTTTTGCTTCTTGTTTGAGAAAATGAGCACTATGTTTCGCTACTTCGGGTTCAAGAAAAATGATGATTATGTCTTACCTTCCATATATATAGGAGAGATATGATAAGGATTAAAACACTTTCCCAAATACCATAGTTTCACACTAAATTTTTGTGGGTACCTTTTGAATATCTCACTTTCTATTTTGGGACGCTCCCCCTGAATTGTTTACTTCCCTGAAATAACAACTACATAAGGCGTAAATGACTCTTTTACCCTTTCAATTTTGTCGTCTCTTCTCATGTTCGTGTCAATTTTTTTGACAGTCCATTTCTTTCAGTTCCACACCTGATAAAATTTAAGATGAGATAAGGATAACTGGATTGGGTAATAAGATACTTGGGTTGAACCACATTAAAAGATTGAATACAATCGATTAGTTAGTTCAACGCAAGAGCTTATATACCGATTATTTTACTCTTGGACTTCCGACGTGAGACAAACTCTAACACTTCCCTCAAGTGGACAACCGAGCCATTTTGAATCTAACCGGTAGACCACTTGCAAATAAACTCTCATTCCCTTGATTGTTTTTTTAGCATCAACACCTAAAGGACCACGAGCCGTTGGGTATGGATTTTCAGACGAGCAATCGTGTTAAACAGACCACAGGCCATTAGGTACATACTCCACACGGACAACTGGGCTAAAGACTAACGAGCCACTAGGAATAAACGTCTAGACGGACACCTTGACAAACGAGGTGGGCCAAAACTTGCTCTGATATCATGATAGAATTTAGGATGTGGTAAGGATAACTGGATTGGGTAATAAGATGCTTGGGTTGAACCATATTAAAAGATTGAATCTAATTGATTAGTTAGTTCAACTTAAAAGCTTATATACCGATTATTTTATTCTTTGACTTCCAATGTAGGATAAACTCTAACAACACCCACCCATCCTAAACTTTTCCCAACATTCATCTCTTTCTTTGTTCAACCCTTTGATCTCCTTTTTTTCACTCGTCTCATTCATCTCTTTCTTTGCCGAATTATCGATTTGTTGTCGACCATAGTTTTTCTTCTATCGTGTTGCTCTGCATACCGTCCTCTTCTTTTCTACCTTCTCACTAGATCAGGTTATATCTAAAGAGCTCCGGCGTCCGCTCCGGTTAGATAATATACGACAAAGAGAATAAGGCAAACCAGAGTCTAGTCAAATCTAGAGAGCTTCGTTGTCCCCTCACAATTCTGGTCAGATCGATTTATCGTTAGAATAAAACAATCTTTCTTGGGTCACAACTATAAGCTTGAGCTTTTGGTTGAGTCGGTTTCATGACATAATATTGGAGCCTTGTTGACTAGGAGGTCATGAGTTCAAAAATCAACGTCATTCAGTTTAAAAAAATATTCACTTGCAAGACTCGAACATAAAACAAATCTCTCATGCACATGAGATGACATGTTAAAATATAAAATTTTTTCCTGAGATACCATCACAAGCTTGAGCTTTTGATTGAATCCCTTTTAGTGTTGCTGTTAGAGAAGAAAGGCAACCGGTTTCACCGTTGCTGGTCCCTGCACGAGAAGATATGCTCCTCCTGTTCGTGGATGCTCCCACGGTCGTCGTAGAGATTGAAAGGCGCTGCACGAGAAGAAAGGCGCTTGAGATTGAATAAGAAATAGTTGGGCATAAATTAATACGGAGTATTTATAAAATTAACAGTTGGGCATAAAATAGTCAAAATAAAATTAATATTTTTAAAAGAATTGAACATAAATTAATACTCTTTACTAGAATTAACTATAGTTGGGCATTTAAATTTCTTTCTCATTTTTTTATAGTGAAATGAGGAAGATGAAGATAGATTGAAAAGAAGAGTAAGATATTGAATGAGAGAGAAATTAGAATGGAGAAGTGAAGAATTTGAAGGGTTGAAAAAAAAAATGGAACCGGCATGGCACCCGCGGACGGCCGCTGGGAGAGTTATTCCCACTGCAAGACCGGCGAGGCGAGGCGGGCATCTTGCTCTTCCGCAAGATTCGGCGCGGTGGGTATTCTTGGCACCATTGTAAGTGCTATAAAGCCCACTACATATGGTCTAAGACAAAGAGAATATTAATTAATGATGAAGGGCTCGATCAATAGTGAAGTTTCAAAAATTAAGTAAGAATTTTCCCGAGATTTTATTTGACATAATTAAGAGAATGTGATAATTAATGGTTGACATGCGCATATACGGAGTGTATATTAAAAAATAGATACCCAGTAGAATACAATGTTGAAGAGGAAAGCAGCTGGTATGCACTGATTGGAACCAATACAAAACGCGAACAGATTTCAAATACTCCGTCTATTTTAGCAAAAAAAAAAACCTAAGGTAACTAATTACGTTAATTAAACCACATATATATGTAAATATAAATATAAATCCGGAGGCGTGTTTCACTTATTTAATTTAGGGGACGAGAAAGAAAAGATGAGAAGTGTGAATAATTAAGGGGGGAAAATTAGAGCTTGACGACTTCAGGAATGAAAACAGGGTATTGATGAATGGAGTCGGCCCAGGGACTGTCGGGCAGGGGGGAGTTAATGGTCCTGTTGCACTTCCAGACGGCGCTGTTACACTTGAACCCACTCCCGAACCCAATCTGCCACACCCTGTCCCCTCTCTTCATCCTCCCCTTCGCCTCAATGTAGCTCATCTCGTACCACAGTGACGACGACGACGTGTTCCCGAACCTGTGCAGCGTCATCCTCGACGCCTCCACGTCCTCCCCCGACAGGCTCAGTCTCTTCTGGAGCTCGTCTATGACCGCCCGCCCCCCCGCGTGGATGCAGAAGTGCTCGAACGCCTTCTTGAAGTCCGGCACGTACGGCTTCGATGCCTTTGTTGATGACGACCTGTACAGCTTCCGGGCTATGAAAGAGATGACGAACATGATCTGCTCCGACGCCGGGAGAACAAGGGGCCCGATGGTGGTTATATTCGACTTCAATGCCTCCCCCGCCACTTCCATGAGGTTTATGCACAAGTTTATCCCGATGATCCCTTCCGGATCCTCTTGCTGGAACACGCATTTGTAGGAGTCGTCCTTGTGTCCCATGTGCGTCCGGACCACGTGGAGGAGCCTGTACTTGGCTCTCCCGCGGTCCGACCTCTTGTTCGACAACAAGACCGCCGCTCCTCCCATTCTGAACAGGCAGTTCGGGAGGAGCATCGATCTCTCCTTCCCCGTGTACGAGTTGGGGGACAGAATCTCCGTGCTGACGACGACTGCGTTTGAGTTGGGGTACGTCTCGAGCAAGTCCCGGGCTAAATCTAAGGATATGAGCCCGGCACTGCAGCCCATGCCGGAGAGGTGGAACGTCTTGACGTTACACCTCAGCTTGTATTTATTGACCAGCATGGTCGACATGGAAGGGGTTGGGGAAAACAAGCTGCAGTTGACGATGAGGATGTCGATGTCTTTAGGGTTCAGCTCAGTCTTAGCCAGAAGGTCGTCCATCGCGGGGAAAATCACCATCTTTGCCTCTTCCCTAGCAACGTCCATCGTGATAGCAGGTGGGATGTAGTGCATCGCGGGGGGAAGACAAGTCTCCTCCCCGAGGCCGGAGCGCTCAATGATTTTCATTGTGAAGCGCATGCCCTTGGGGTTGTCGGGCATCATGAGTGTCCCGTGCTCAGATGCACGGGAGAATGGGACCCGGTACATGGACGGGGGCTTGAAACATGCGTAGTCGACGAGGTAGACGCTGCAAGGGCGGGACATTACGTACAGAGCGGCGGCATAGACTAGTAGGAGAAGTGCGGGGATGGCAAGTGGGAGAGAAGCGGCGAAGGGGAATTGCTTGGGGAGGTCATGATAAGAGCCAATCCGATGTATGGCTTGTTTGAAGACGGGGAGTAGCGTGGGTACAAGGATTATGAATATGAGGATGTAGCTCCCAAAACAACGGGAAACTAGTTTCACACATCTTTGATTCAGGGGGTTGGGAAACTTAGTCTCCTTGGGAAGCATTTTTTTTTTTGATTGCTATGATCGAGCTTCTATGTGTGTGTGTGAGTGTGTAGCTTTTCTAGAGTTCATATATATAAAAACTATTAGTAATAGAAAAAAAATATAATAATGAAAGGTGGCAGATGGAAGTTTTAAATGCAACCAAACTGCCACACTCCAATCTATTTACTACACATGTAAGAAAACTCTTATGGGTACTGGCTAGTAGTAATAATTTAATACCGAGTAAATGCGGAGGGATATATAAAAATATCTTCTAGTATAGAAAAGAGAGGCTCTCATGAAGCATAGGGGAAGAAAGTGATCAAATAGAGTCTTTCATTCATTATTATATTGATTCAGACGGACAGTAAGTTGAGAGGAGGTAAATGAAGTTACAATCTCAATCTAATTCTATCCCCAATATGTTACAAGCTACCTCATGTTGAGAATGATGAACTTTTGGAGTTCTTTAATCAACCCTAAGGATTGGTTTTTGAAATATTTGAATAGATCTAGAATGGTATCGTCGACTCTACTGATTATTCTGATCTTGAATAAATAGTTTTTAATAGGAAAGTCATTTGCAGTTTTGAACATGGCAAACTCTTTTAAAAGAAAGTCATGTGAGAGAGTTATGTGAAAGAATTTTTGTTTTCCTCTA